TGGTTCATGTTAGTGCACGATAAATATGTGTTGAATGAACGAATGATCAATTTTTCTGTTCTTTTTCATGTAAGGTTTGTCTTAGAGTTGGACAAAGTAGTGAAATAGACCCTTAAAATTTTTAAAATCTTGCCTTGGTCATTTATGTTTGTGGTTGACAAGGATACTGTTCACTAACATGTCCATTTTCTCTCTGTGTGTGACACATACAGGGACATACATCCCTGACTTCTTGACAGCCAGCTTCGTCATGTGACTTGCTCTGGCCAGTGATATGTGAACAGTGTGCCATGCCCCTTCTAGGTGGAGACATTAGCAGCCACCTTTGCCACATTCTCTATTTCCCTCGCCCCTGTGACAGGCAAAGCTCCAGATAATGACTGCTCTGTTACCGAGGGTCCTGGAGTGAGGGAGCTGGTCATGTGTAGTTGACCCAGAACAGGTACTTGGCACAAACAGGAAGTAAACTGTGTTGTTCTGAGATATCTTGGGGTTGTTTGTAGGTGCAGCCTTGCCAGGCCTGGCCCATCTGGATCAATGAAGCATTGGAAAAGCTTCTACAGATACTACACAAATTGACCACCAAAAAATTGCTAGCCAGCAATATAACAGAGCTCCTGCTGGTGGTGGTTCATTCATTTACTATCAACCTGGCTTTTTAGTTTTTAATAGCTTGGCCAGTCTTTTAAGTGTAAGAAAATACCCATGAAGCCAGAGCCTTTGACAATAATGACCATGAATGAGCTTAAGTAATAAAATTACTTTGTATTGCAGATATCTTTCTACCTTTAACACTTATGAAGGGAAGTTAATTTTCACTCAAATGGGTTTCTTTTCATCTGGTTTTCTGTACAATGTTTATGACTGAGGTTTATTGCTAGCAGTAAAGAGTGTCCAAGTATGTTATGGGAATAGCCAAATTCCCAGTGCTTTAAAATGTATTCCGTAGGCCCCAGAACCAGTTAAAAGCTGATTGATTATACAGCAAATACATCAAAACCGGTATTTATGAAATATCCTATTTCTTCAGCTCAATCTCTCATAAGCATGAACATCACATTTGGGAGTTGTAGTGCAGATATCTCAGACAGCCAGGGGAAAAAAAATTACTGCAGACTCTCCATGACAAGGAAAAGGTTCTTTAAGCTGTTCAATAATTTAATAAAACATTTATGTCAACTGATGTCCTATGAACAAATATTTTAAAAGATATGATTTAAGCAGTTTAGTGTAGCTTGTCTATTCAGACTTTCGTAATTGAGTCACCCAAACACCAATTATATTGCTGAATATAGAACAGAAACTGGGAATGAATGTACAGATGGACGTTTTCATCTGACTGGTTTATAATTGACAGCAAAGTTTCTGTTTGATTTGTTCAAGATTTGGGCAGAAAGTTCCTGCTTAAGAAGGGAAAATGAGCTATTAGACATGGCCTTTATCAAGGATGCCAGAGATGTTTAATGTTTTCAATTTGCATACTTGGTCTATGATTTGTTTTCTTTTTTTGGTGGGTAGTCAGTACAGGGATGGCACCCCTTGACCTTGGTGTTATCAGCACCATGCTCTAACCAACTAAGCAGACTGGCCAGCCCCAATGATTATTTTTGTTACACATTGCTTTTCGGTGTGGTCCGTCTTAGATTACAAAATCAAATTCTTATTCATTGTATGCTAATGCTCTATGATGCTCTATATTAGGTACTATTCCCTAGAGGAGACATAGCGTATTTAACTGATTTGAAAAGCAATGTCTTTTGCAAATAGTAACCCTTGCCTTTTGATGACACCATCAGTAACAACATTCTATGATGTAGATTGCTCATGGAAGCTAGTTTTACTGAGTGCTATGCAACAGAAAAACTCAAGAAATAGATTTGTTGATTGATCAATACCTAGAGAATGCATTAATTTGGGTATCAGCTGAAGTCTAGTACTTCTGAAAGAAATTTTAAAGTCTGAAGAGAAAAATAAGCATATTGACATGCCATAAAATAGATATAAAATCTGTAATAGTCCTATTTTGGGTCTGAAAGTGTAACATTTCATTTTTATGACATAGAGGTCACCAAAACTCTTGCTTAAATGTTTCTGAGGACAAAGGAGAATTAAACCCGGAGTTGAAAATGGTTTTGGTGGTAAATTATCCCCCAAATGATTTCCGACCCCTTCTACCTAATACAAGTTGTGCAAAAGTTTTTTCCCTTTAAAATGTACTTCATGTCTTTATTTCATTGTTGGAATCCATGTGATTCTCTGGACATGTGTTAAAGCAGTTCTGTGCATGGGGCTTTAGCATCTCCCGGGGTGTTATGCAACCAGAGCAGAGATTACTCTTCCTTCTCCCCACGGTGTACAACCCCATGCAATTAAACACAACTTGGCCTGAACTGAAAGGGAAGTCCATGCTCCTCCTATTTTCACTATTCTTCCACATGCCTGAAAGAATAGGTTTCCAAGAGTGTGAAGACAGTCCACTGTCTATTTGGTGGGAGCTATAAAATCCACATAAGGAGCAGGCTTTCCATCCAGGTTTCCAACAGCGCATACTGTTGAATTGGATTTGTGTGTGCTTCAAGTCTGTGGAATAAGCAGAATATGCTGGAGATAACCCATCACTTTATATGTGTGTCTTATGATATTCCCACTTGGGTCCCATCAACCATAAGCCTCCTAAATGGAAAGGAGCCTGTGACAGGCAGCTGTCCTCGCTATACATGCTGCTGATGTTGCCTGGAGAAGAGCAGAAACCGAGACTGAATGAGTTGGGTGGTTTGGTTTTCACGCTTTTCTTTTTTCCCCCTGCTTGGAAAGCTCACTGCATTTTGCTGCTGTTATTACCAACGTTTCATTGAAAATGAAACTGGGGTGTCTTTGTGGGGTTTTGCAGCAAATACGTAAAGCAGGTTCCGGCAAGGTTGGGCAGTTCACAGTCTGAAGTGGGTGGAATAGTAACCATTTGTTTGCTGGGGTAAATGCTGCATAATTTATTCAACTGCAGCAGAGGCTGAAAGCCAATCTGGCCTTGACCCATTTATCTTTAGGAAACTAAAGTAGAGAATCTGGTTTACTGTTGTTATTGAGGTTTTCCTTTTTCCTTTTCAGGGTGTGTGTGTGTATGTGTTTGTGTTGGGGTGGAAGGTGGGAAATACCAGTTTCACCTAAAGACAGTGGCTGAAGGTCCAGATAGTAAAGCAGTTTCTTAAACACAGCCAGACATCCTTTTGAAATGCAAAATAGCGGATTAGGCTGGATGCAGAATCCTTTGAGGTGACAGTGAAATGCCATAGCAGTTTAAAATGAACAACAGACAGTTTCCCAAATCCTCACAACCAAAATGGCCTCACAACCTAAATCACACCAAAATGGCCCCAAAGAAGCATGGAAGAACATTTTTATGGCCAGCATTTTACTCTGAAACTGTTATTAACCAACAAGCAGGAAATGATGTGAGAATGTCAGTTGCTGGGTCCATTTTGTTTCAGAACAATAAAAAAGTACATATCTAGATGATATTTTGCAAGTTCTATACTTAAATCTATATGTATTAATATTTACAACATATTTGTCAACAATGAAATACCAATGAATTGCAAAAGTTGCAGTGTATTTTTGGAAAAATCGTATCCAAAATAGACATTTGATTTATTTTGGCCTAGATGAGATTATATGAGGCAAACAGGGAAGTTTAGCAGATATTGGGATATTATGATTTATATTCATTCCGCTATGTTTGAGGAAGTTGTAATTCTTGGGGGAAAGCTACAAGGGTCATGATAACCACCAGATAAGGGGATTGGACTGAGTCAACTGCAGGAAAATCTGAAGATCCCAAGAGATTGTGTTGGGAAGGGTAAGCACATACTCTCTGAACTGAAGCTACTCTAGCTGTCAACTGGACCAATGGACACAGAATCCTGGCTTGTCCCACCCATGATGTTTCCTCCTCCCATTTTCCATTTATCATCAAAAGACTTTGAGATATTTGTCTTCCCTGTCCCTTCCTTAAGATCTTCCCTTTGAGACTGTCCCCGTTCTGAATTTACCTCTTAGCTTTCTTACCTCATCCAAACTGCCTTGGTCTCAGAAAGCTGGAATGATGAACGGGGCTGCTACTTGGGGGACAATTTCTTTTTAAAAAATGATTTTTAAAGAAGGAATTTTAGACATAGTGTTACCACTGCCCGGACTGAAGGCCAGGCAGCCATGCAGCATCACAATGCATAGGTGCGCCATGTGAATAAGTGTGTGGCCTGCAGGTGAGGGTCACCTTCTCTTCTGGGCCCATGATGCTATATACGGTACAGGTCTTTACTAAGGAGTGTTACCACTTGGAATGGTATTATATAAACCAGATTATATAAATATCTGACTATTATGGTTAATATAAAAAGTCAAGGAAGATAACCTGAGCATACTTGTCTTCAGCCCCACTACAAACGTTCGAGTAAAAAAGATTCAGGGCTCCCTCTCTGAATGCTCTTTAGATAGCAGTAAATTCAAGTAGAAAAATAAAAGTAAACAACCTGCACCATATACTATTTCTTAACCCCCTAAATTCTCTATGTCCCAGCTCATGGAAAAATTAGCTCCTTATGCATGAGAGCTGATGCTGGTTTGTTCTTGGTATTAGTCAGGTAATTACTTGCTCAGCACAAGAAGAGAAGGCCAATATTTTCTATTAGGGAAGAGCTAGCTTTTCAGGCAGACTACACATAGTCTGAACACTGGGATAGAATTTAAATCAGCCACCAAATGAGCAAGTCTTACACAAAGATTAGATTGAAAACCTTGCCATTGGGAAAGAATACCAAAATAGTTGTTAACCATAAATAGCAAGTAGGGAGGAAATTACTAAACAAGTTGGGCATGTGCAGTGTTCCATTCACTCCAGATAATTTGGAAAGGGAAAGCGGAGGTGGAATTTCTCAGGAACTTTCCAGATTGATGGTACAAAGACGAATGGGGGTGAGAGGAAGAATAAAAAGACCAGCGCTTACACTATGCTGCATTGTTCTCCACACAGTCCTCTGGGAAGCAAGAGGAAAACAAATTTAAAGGAAAAAGAAAAAGAGATTATTCTATACATAATAGCACAGCATAGGCATACAGTTCAGCTTTGTAGGATAGCACTCATCCCACCCCACCCCAAATTCCCTCAGAATGACCAGCAGAATATTTGAAAAATCTGCAGACACAGTACAGTGTTGAATACTTACTGGAGATTTATTGGTCTAAATCATCACCAGCTTGATGAGTCAACTTCCAAGTCTGGATTTTTAAAGAAAAATTAACTTTATAAAATATATTCCTGTAAGACACAATTTAAAGAGCATTTTTGCTCTACTGAGTCAGCTGGAGTAAAGACACTCCCTGTCCATGTACGTTCTGCAGCTATATAGCACGCTGTACCTAATTTTCTGAGCTGCACAACTAATTGCCTTTTACAGAAGATGATTCAAAATACTTCTGTATGCTCAGACTTTGAAATCGATCTATTTCGTGTTGATTTATTTATTTATTTATTTATTTAATTTATTTTTTTTTTCCTTTTTGTCTTTTTTCGTGACCGGCAACGGATCGCAACCCTCAGTGTCGCGCCCGTACCGGACCGGGACCAGCCACAGGATCGCAACCCTCGGTGTTGCTCCCGCCCCTCGCTCAGCCAGTGAGCGGCCGGTCTGTATGTGGGATCCGAACCCTCGGCGGGAGCGCCACTGCGCTTCCTAAGCGGCGCACTATAGCAGTGCGCCACCGGGCCGGCCCGTGTTGATTTATTTTTATACTTGATATTACTTCCAGTGAATTGGAACTTTCTTTAAAAAAAATTCATAGTTTCACATCAAATTATTTAAGAGAATTCAGAGTATACATTTAAGAGAAAAGGAAGAGAACCACTCTCTTCCTGAGTGTAAATAATCACCTCTAGCCTATTTAATTGAAAATCATTAACAGTTGTCTGGAACAGAAGGGCTGCTAAGATGAGTGTTGGTAACCAGAAAGAGACACATGATGACAGGACCAGTCTGTCAACCGAATTAGTCAATGGCATTTGTATGCTCAACAAATCATGGCTGTTGGCAGTAAGGACTGTGATATTCTCGGATAAGTCAACTTTCCATCAGCAGCTGAATTTATACGGACATATTCATTCATTCTTAGATAACAATAACAACTTTAGGGTAGTATGTTTGAAAAATACTGACTACCCTTAACTGCTTTTTATGTCCATATAACTTTTGAGGAACAAGTGGAAATGTTTTCTAGTGATATAAAAGAATTTATAAGCTACTTATAAATATAATAAGAGGTTAAATAATGGAATTGATGTATTGTTAAGAGACAGTTTTATTTTCAGTTCTGTTATATAAGTTTTAGCAGCAGTTTACCCAGCTTGAGGTTGGGAGCTTTATTTCTAAAACAAACCCCATAATTACCAGTTCACATAAAAAAGAAGCTTTATAATAACTGATATAAGAACATTTACCAACATATCCCAAAGTTAGTACCACAAATAGTAATTTAAATGGTATTAAGAAGTAACTTTCCAAGAGGTATATACTTATTTTCATGTTGGCAAAGGGGAGGTGTGATTGAAGTATTGTTTTGAGGCTGTCCTTTGAAGCATTTTCCCTGTTGAAACACTCAGAGAAATTAAGGAAAATCTTTTTCAATTATCCTCTTTTTTCTGGAACACATGCTTCTGATAATTATTCAGGAAACATCTTTTCAGGGGAAAATTAGAACAGGAGTAGGTAATATGAGCCTTGTTTTTAAATAGTCCATAGAAGCTGTAAGGCAAGGTAGAACCTTCTGGAGAGTTCACAGTGCGTGCTTCCTGAGGATGGTCACATCTGACAGTAGCACAGCACTCTCTGACCAGGGGTAACTGTTCCATCTTTCCACTTCTTAGAACTGTATTGAACCCTTAAAGAAAAGAAGGCCTTGGGGGAGCCAACGACTGCAAATGGAGATTCTGATATTAGCTTCAGGCCTAGCTTGCATTTCTCAAGAATAACCTTCCTTTTGATGTGGAAACAACCCCTTACTCTTGGGAGGGGAGAAAAGTAGTAACTCCAGGTGGACTGTGGCTGGCTGTGAATTACAAATTGCTAATTCTTACAATTTGGGGAGGGATCAGAATTTAATTCAATAAAAAATGAGTCAAACTGCTGATTCTCACTTACAGAGCCTGAAGTCACACCTCGGAGGGAGTAAACACTACCTGCCATCAGAGGATTTTTAGAAAACAATCAGCTTATTGATTTGAATACCCATGCACTGAGTCTGGTTCTTGGTTTTTACTTATCATCATATGATTAATCACTACCAATTATTTTCTAGAAAAAATTGATTAAAATATATTTTTGGGGGGAATGTGTAAAATAGAAGATCCTCAATCAGTTTGCTATTTGCCAACAACTCTTCAAGATCCTTATATTTGGAGCGTTCTGAAGATTACCAATGAAGTTCCTTTATAAAAGGTTTAAATTCCAATTTTCATATTTATCAGATTTTAAACATCATGTGAAATTCTCAAAGTGGTGGTGCTTTATTTAGGTTGTGCTAAACTGCATAAATATTGTCTTGAGAAATATATTTTTCTCACTCTGCCACCCCTGTTTAAGGATGGGTGGTTATTGCATCTGGGATCAAGAAAAAACTGTGCTTCTTTGTTTCAAAGGGAAAAAAATAATTAGTTGCCATAGATGTCATTATATTGTCCAAATTCAATGTAATTTTAACTAAGTGCATAATGTATCCCAGTTCTTTTTTAAAAAATTGTATTTTATTGTGATAAGAACACTTAACATGAGATCTACCCGCTTAGATTTTTAGGTGTACAATACAATATTGTTATCTGTTGGCACGATGTTGGACATCTGATTTCTAGAACTTATTCATCTTACATTGTACCCCAGTTCTTGAATTAGATTTTAAAAAATTCAGAAAAGCTTGAATTGTTCCAGTAACTAAGTTAGAACTAACTAAAGCAGAAAAAAAAAAAAAAAAAGAGGATCAAACCTATACTCACCATTTGTGCTCTGATTAGAAAGATCTTGATATACAAAGCAATTTGTAAAGTAAAACCCAAACAATAGAATCCAATGAAAACCATCATTTCTTTAAAATAACTGGCAGGTTATTTGGTGGAATCTAACTGGTTGTTTAAAAGAAAAATGATGACTATTTTTAAACTTTTCCTGAGACTGCGATGGAGAACAGACATAAGCAAGGTAAAGTAGAAGGTTGAAGTGATTACAAACATGATAGCTTTTCCAAAACCTACTCTGAAGAGGAGATTTTATTTGCTAATTAATGATGTTAAATTTATAATGTAATTTAGCAGTTAATGACTCCAGTTACCCCTTTACTTTGACACTTCATAGATAGGCCTTTATGTTGTAAGCACATTTGGTTTTTACAGAGAGAAAAATGCTGATACGTAATTACTTTGAGGCCAAACTCAATCAGTTTAATCTTACAAGTTCTACACTGTAGAGGGATATTAACTAAAATCATAAAGTAATTTATAACAGTGACTAATAAAAGTGTTTTCATAACCAGCAATCTTTGAGATCTGAATTTATATGACACAGTGAGATGTGGTCCAAGTGCTTCACAACCTTAAGGTTTTTATATGTAAATTTTACGTCAAGATAATTGGCAAAGCAACATTAACAGTACACACAATTCCAGGTATATAAGTTGTTTATAGTACTATAAATTGAAGAAATTGAAAACATTCAGGTAGTATTTCTTTAAAATTAAGAGCTTTTAATTTTTTATAGCAAAATTTGGTTTTTAAGATACATTCCAAAAATTTGTTTACTATGTTTACGGATGTATTCACCAAGTAAATTGTTTTGATGATAGGTATCATTCAGTCTCCTGATACACATTTAGCTCAGAGTGACTATTTCTAAGGATTTCAACTTTTTAAAGATACATAAAAAATAAAAAATGGTAGTAACATTGATTGACAAGGTCTTTCAAACAGAAAACTACGAAGGAGAAATCATAATAAAGTTGCACTACATCATAATTGAATAAATAAACATTTTAAGAAAAGAACCAAAGCAGATGAATAAGAAATGTGCCATTGTAATTATATCTCTAGAAGAACTGGTAACTTAGTTTTCAAATTAATATTTCAGAAGAAATATAAAGTTGAAAATTTGGTCACTGCTTGAATGGGTTAATAGCTATAAGATTTCTTAAATAATCAAATTCATGACTTAAAAGATCCAATCACTTTTCAATGTTTTAATTAAGAACAGGAACAGATATACAAATAGGATGACTTTTACAACCAACCTTTTCAGAATCCCAAAACGTGTTTTGGAGAATGATCTTGATAACAGAAAGCACCCCCAATGGTAATCAATCCAAGAATACTCACCAGCCGGTCCAAGCTTGTGCCTGCGGCGGTTGTGGGTCTTTCCTCAGGATTGTAGGGCCTGAAACGTGTATTAAAATTTTCAGGAGCTGAGCGGGCAGATCTGAGAGCTGGAGCAGGCTTGGGCTGGCCACATCCCTGAAAGACCTGGAGGAAGCACGGAAAGTTACACAGTGAACTTCATTGTGAAAATCATGATGCAGAAGAGTGCAGTGCAATGGTTTCCACATTTTCCATGGAACTCTTACTTCCAATAAACTTTAATTTTGTAATTTAAATATGTACAACCCCTGATATAATAGAAAGAATTACCTAAGCAGATACAGAGTGACCAATTCTATGCTCTGACTCTTAGTTTCACCATATACAGTCGGTCCTCATTGTTTGCAGATTTCACATTTGCAAATTTGCCTACTCACTCAAATTTATTTCTAATCCCCAATTCATTCTCACAGCACTTTCATGATCACACACAGAGTAGCAAAAAACTGGAGTCCCACCTGCATGTTCCCAGCTGATGTTGAATAAGGAGGGGCTCTGGCTTCTCATTTCAGCTCTCACACTGGTCTATTAGTACCACATCTTCACATGTTTGTGTTTTTTCTGGTGATTTCACTGTTTAAAATGGCCCCGAGCCTAGGGCTGAAGTACTGCGTTCCTAGCACAAGAAGTGTCTTGTGGAGAAAACGTGTGTTAGATAAACTCTGTTCAAGCCTGAGTTAGATTGCCATGAGTTCAATGTTAATGAATCAACAATACGTATTAAATAAGGTGTCTTTAAACAGAAGCACACATAAAACAAGGTCATGTGTTGATCGATTGACAAAAATGTTGTGACTAGTGGCTCACAGGAACATAACCCTGTATTTCCTGTAGGAGCAATGATTCAGTATTTGCTAGTTTAGTGTTTGCAGTGACTTTATAGAACATAACTACAACAAATAATGGGAATCAACTGTATTAAAAATGGGAATTGTAATAGTTACTTCATAGGATGACTTCAGGATTAAACAAGCTGTGTCCCAAACACTTTCATGTACTTGAATTTGGCTTTCAATAAACATCCGTTTGGGGTTCCTGCTATCATGACAAATGCAGTTCACGTGTGTATATAAGGTCAAATAACTTCAGTAACTCCTCTTTGAATAATGAAAACCTCTACTGAAAGAATTCTTTGGAAACGCTCTTGAGCACTGGTGTGGAAATAAGACAAGCAAATGTGGATAACATCCATATAATGACAGTTTTCTCTAATTTTGTTGTTGACAGCTGTTCATGTCACAATTAGGATTGCTGTGGGAAATCAAACATGTTATTGTAATGATCTTAGGAACTGAGCTGCCAGTTCTTGTCCACAGTGATTTCACTCCGCCTGCTGTAGGGACATTTCCTTTGCTGTTTATAGAAGCTTCACACTCTTTGCTGGTTATCAAGAGATAACATCTTTACTAGAATGACAGGAAATATAGTAACATTTTCAGGAAACCCTGATGAAGTTTAATTTTATGCTTCTCCCATTTCTACACAGATGATTCTTCTCCTAGATTTTTTTTTTTCAGTAAACTTTTCAGGACTGTTTATGTGAGCTAATTCTTGCATGTGCATATTTACAATGCATTTGTTCTGGTTCTATTATCTGATTCTGCATTGTTTAACTCTAAAATAAGCATTTTTCATCACGTGTATTATGTGATTCCACTGAAGGACGCAGGGAGCTCTTGAGTGCCATTCCCGATGACAAATTCCATCTTGAGACACAATTCATTTTGCTTTCCCACTGCAACTAATTTCTCTTTTGTTGTATTCAAAAATTCTCCTTCAACTCAGCATTTTGCAGAGGAGTACTTTGTCTTGGCATCCCTGAGATTGGCCGTAACACACTATTGATTATTCTTCTTGCACACAATTTCTGAAGTTGATGGTGTAAACCAGTGTGATAAAGATAGTGGGCCCTTTTCTCCCTGGTGCCTAAATCACTTCCCCCTGGCAAGGTCATTGCTGATGGAGGACATTAACATTTCCAAAGCTCCAGGGATCTGTTGAGTGTGCTATTTTGGATTGCTTTGAAAATGACAGCTGACTTTTAAAAAGTGTAATGCCTAAGGCAAAACAGTAGTAATGGCCTTGTTGAGATTTCATGAAGCCAAGCACTGAAAGAGTTAATAGACCTTCTTAATTTGCCCTTTGGGAAAAATGTGGTTCACTGGGTTAAGTTAAATCAAAGGAACATGAATGCCCTGAAAGAATATTAGTGTTCTGGGAAGATACTCCAGCATAGAAGAAAAAATTACCACTTGCTTGATTTTCTTGTTTTGTTTTGGAGGGTGTTACTTATAACAGAACGGAGATTAGTTAATATAGCCTAGCAGCTTTCTATTATTTACATCGGGTTTGGATTTTGAAGATAGCTTCAGTGCAGATATTGTTGGGTCTATGACCCACACTGAACACTGACCCAATTATTTTGGAAACAACACCTAACCCCATAATCAGGAGGAGACCTACATAAAAATCTGTCACAATAACCTCATATCTTGAAAGTCCCTAAATAGAGATTCTATCATACTCTTAGAAATCAGAATTGTCATTAAAAAACTCTTTAGTGAGAAAGTTTCAAGCCTTAGGGGTCAATTTTCAGAATTTTATAAAACCTAATGAAACAGTTGCAGAGGCATACTGGAGCATCAACTTGCCCTGTTTTTGCTTGAGAATGATTAAACCCCACTGTATATTCTCATACAGAGAATAAATCTTAAACAACATATACTTATCATATAACTTAAATGATTGACAAAATAAAATTAATAATTTAATTTTTTTGAGGGGAGGGAGCAGCTGGGTGGTGTGGGGTTCCACACCCTTGACCTTAGCGTTATCGACACTGTGCTCTAACCAGCTGAGCTAACCAGCCAGCCCCATAATTTCATTTTTAATATACGTGCTGTGGTCTGAATATTTGTGACCTCCCAAAATTCATTAGCTGAAACCTAATCACTGATGTGAAGGGATTAGAAGGTGGGGCCTTTGGGAGGTGATTAGGCTCTGCCCTCATAAAAAGGATTAGTGCTTTTATAAAAGAGGACCCAGGGAGCAACCTTGCCTCATCCAGTGCATGAGCACACAGTACGAAGGTGGCAGCTACAAACCACAATATAGGCCGTCACTGAACATCAAATCTGCTGGAGCCTTGATCTTAGGCTTCCCAGCCTCCAGAACTGTGAGAATTAAATTTCTGATATTTATAAGCCACCCAGTTTATGGTATTTTGTTATAGGAGCCCAAATAAATTAAGACAACATGCAATCTGTTAGCTAGAAGAAATATTTTAAAAATATGGGGTTCACCAAAGGATGGCTGACAAAAAGAATTCTTATACAGAAAATTTGGACTGTCTCAATTTTCTGTTTGCTATAGCAGCAGTATAGTAACACAAAGTTTTGTGGTTCATGAAACCCAGGGTTAGGTTAGTATAAACGACCAAGGAGCCTTTTCCCTGGTGGTCTGGGTACCCCTATGTTTTATATTTTGAATAAGGGAAGAAACAGATGAGGAATAATGTGAAGGAAAGGGCCTTAGGTTAAATGAAGTTAGTACAAATGCATCTCAGCTTATGATGGGGTTGCATCCTGATAAACCCATTGTAAGTTGAAGATATCCTAAGTCAAAAAGGCATTTAATACACCTAATGTACTGAACATCATAACATAGCCTAGCCAACCTTAACTGTGTTCAGAACACTTACATTAGCCTATAGTTGGGCAAAATTATCCAACACAGAGCCAATTTTATAATAAAGTGCTGAATATCTCATGTAATTTATTAAATACTATACTGAAAGTGAAAAATAGTGGTTGTGTGGGTACCCTAAGAACGGTTTGTAACTGCATGCATATCACTTCCATATCACTGTAAAGTTGAAAAATCATTAACTGGAACCATCGTAAGTCAGGGACTGTCTGTAGATCAAATGGTCAGGGCTACAGATATAGATTTAGATCATGAGCCTTAAGATGGCATTTGAAGTCTTGAAACTGGTTACGTTTACCAAGGGAAAAAAGTCTAGATAGGTGGCAGATGGACGGAGCTGAGGACAGCCCAATGCCATGCCAACATTTAGAGGGTCCTCCCTCAGCCTCAGTTTCTTCCTCTGTTGAATGGGAATGAGATTATTTATGACACAGATACACGGTGATGATAAAATGCAATACATAAAGCAGAATAACAGAACCCAGCATACCAAGTGCTTGATAATACTTAATTATATCATTCTATAATCTGTATTTCCCAGAAGTTTTGCTTTCTGAGTAAGGAAATTTGAAGGAAAAATGTTCACTGCCCTCAAATTTTTTAAATGTTTTTCACAAAATATTATTTCCAGGGGCTGTTAGCAGCTGTTAGCTTATCAATAGACTCCATGCATTAAAGCAAAATTTGAAAACTTCACAAGGGCTTCATCATGCTACCATGTGTTCTGACTTGGAGGATGTTATTTATAGTGTTTCCCAAAATCATTCGACCAAGGCTCCCCCGGAAGGTTCTCACAAGACTAGTGTCCCAGGGAACGTGCCCTGAGATAGGCCATGAAGGCAGTTGTAACCTGCCAAGAGAGAAGTGACTCAGACAGAACTGCACGCACTTACAGGGGTTTGTGAAGCCGTTCTGCCTTCCTCTACCTGCAAATTGAAAGAGGAATGCTATTTTAAGACACTAAAGATCTTAGAACAGAACAGAAATTTCTAGAGGATATAGCTGCAGGCTAAGCCACCTTACTGGGGAACAAAAAATTAGCTCTACCCCCTTTAAGGAATCATCAGAATTGCCCCCTGCTTACCTTCGTCATCAAGGGATGTTGAAAGGGATAATTAGTTAGTTCGGGAAGGTATTTGGAAGCCCCAGTGTCGACAGATGCTACTCACGTACAAAGGAATTATCCTTCCCACCTAGTTGACTTGCAAAACCTGTGGATTTGGGGAAGGTATCTGGCTTATGAATCCTCTCTCTTAGGCAGATTACGGAGATGATGTCTCAGAAGTATGTTGGCATTCTGAGGTTAAAGATGCTGTCATTAAGATAGAAACTGCTGAAAGAAGAAACATTTTACAGCTTGGAAAGGATGAGGAGGAGAGGCAGGTGTGGTGGCAACAGGT